TTATGGTTTGGAAGATCCACCCTAAACACGCTTAACGATTCATGATTAATCCTAAAGCTTCAGGTTTCACAAAGATACTTATTAAGCTGAGAAAATCTGGTTTATTACTTTCTTAGCTGGTGGAATTTTGTTCCTTGTTTTTCACAAATTTCATACTATCATTTTGTTGGTTTCTTTCTTTTCAATCAATTAGCACTATTTTCACTTTAAAAGAAAATTAAATTATTGTGTCTGTTATATTTTTGGACGGCTCATATTATTTCCACTTTGGAAAATCATATAATTCCGTGAGGACTAGAGGACACGTGTCAGAAGAAGGTCTAAGTATTGTGCCTCATCACGAGGGTTCACGAAGACTCCGGCGTCGTTTAGCATCTTCCTCTCCTTCTTCTCTCTAATAATATATCTTCTTTTTCTTGTGTTCCTCGCGAACACAGAGAGAAAAAGCGTTTTACCATCTTTGCTCAATTCCCAAGTGAACTACTCGCCGTTTTGGTGATTTTCTGATAAACTCCGTGTTGTGTTTAAAGTCTCCGAGCAAATGGCGAAGGCTACGACGGCTGCTACGGCGGCGTTCAGTGGAGTGGTCGGTGTAGGATCGGAGAAACGAAGGATTTCTTCGTTTTATCATCTTCAACCATCTGTGGCTTTTCCGGCGAAGCCTAATTCCTTCAAAGCTTTGAAATTGAAGCAGAGCGTTGGGCTCACACGGCGGATTGAACGTGAACATCGGCCTTTCGTTGTCCGATGTGAAGCTACTTCTAATGGAAGGGTAAAGTCTGAAACTTTAGCTCTTATTCGCACTGTATAGGCTTCACGAATCTGGAATTGGTACAAACAGTCTTAAGGGTTTTTATGTGGTGGATTGCTAATTGTGTTCGGTGTTGTTTTGATTGTATAGCTTACACAGCAAGAGTTTACGGAAATGGCGTGGCAATCGATAGTTTCTTCACCAGATGTTGCGAAAGAGAATAAGCAACAGATTGTGGAGACAGAGCATCTAATGAAAGCTCTTTTGGAGCAGAAGAATGGTTTAGCTCGCAGGATCTTCTCTAAGATCGGTGTGGATAACACCAAGGTTCTAGAAGCAACAGAGAAGTTCATTCAACGCCAACCAAAGGTAATCAATGAATGTCTTTTTTGGGTGTTTGAAAAATGTGGTTTTTTTGTTTTGTTTTGGAGGCTAATGAGAATTTAGTTAGTGACTTTCAGGTGTATGGAGAATCTGCTGGTTCGATGTTGGGGCGTGATTTGGAAGGTCTGTTTCAGAGAGCAAGACAGTTTAAGAAAGACTTGGGGGACTCTTATGTCTCAGTGGAGCATTTGGTTCTTGCTTTTGCCGAAGATAAGCGGTTTGGGAAACAGTTGTTTAAGGATTTTCAGATATCAGAGAAGAGCTTGAAAACTGCAATTGAATCCATTAGAGGGAAACAATCAGTTATTGACCAAGGTTTGTAACCACATTTGAGGTTGATAGTTAAAAATTTGATTTGCATATTTGGTGGATAAAGAGAGTTAATGATCATGTTTAACAGATCCGGAGGGTAAGTATGAGGCGTTAGAGAAGTATGGAAAAGATTTAACAGCAATGGCGAGAGAAGGAAAACTCGATCCTGTGATTGGTAGAGATGATGAGATCCGTAGATGTATTCAGATTCTCTCGAGGAGAACAAAGAACAATCCTGTGTTGATCGGTGAACCTGGTGTTGGTAAAACCGCAATTTCAGAAGGGTAAATTATCCAAAAACATTACATTTCAGAAGCTAGTACATGTTTATGTATTATGTAATGCTAAGATATTACATTTCCACTTTTGAAAACAGACTTGCTCAGAGGATTGTGCAAGGAGATGTACCTCAAGCATTGATGAACAGAAAGGTATTCAGCTATTCATCAAGCTGGAATCTTTTTTTCTTTACAATTTGGACAACAACTGATTCAATCGTCCTTTGGTTTTCTTTTCAGTTGATATCGCTCGATATGGGTGCACTCATTGCTGGAGCAAAATATCGAGGAGAATTTGAAGATAGACTAAAGGCTGTACTTAAGGAAGTCACAGACTCAGAAGGCCAAACCGTTTTGTTCATCGATGAGATCCACACAGTTGTTGGTGCAGGTATGCAACATCCTTTGATTGTTGGAGCAGTTTATACGTTTTTCTTGCAATGATTTTGAAGATTGTTTGTTTTCATTGTCTTTCAGGTGCAACTAATGGGGCGATGGATGCTGGTAATTTGCTGAAACCGATGCTGGGTCGAGGAGAGCTACGTTGTATCGGTGCTACAACGCTTGATGAATATAGGAAGTACATAGAGAAAGATCCAGCCTTGGAACGTAGGTTTCAACAGGTATATGTTGATCAACCTACGGTTGAAGACACGGTCTCTATTCTCCGTGGTTTGCGGGAAAGGTATGAGCTACATCACGGAGTTCGCATCTCGGATAGTGCTCTAGTGGAAGCTGCTATTCTCTCTGACCGTTACATCAGTGGCCGGTTTCTACCTGATAAAGGTTGATACTTCGTTATTATATGAACTTCATTAATAGAAAGTTTTATCTTCATCAATAGATAGTGTTACTAACGGATTTGGTATTTGGTTTTCTAGCAATTGACTTGGTTGATGAAGCGGCAGCGAAATTGAAAATGGAAATCACTTCGAAACCGACAGCTCTTGACGAGCTTGACCGAGCAGTGATTAAGCTCGAAATGGAGAGGCTTTCACTCACTAATGACACAGACAAAGCTTCTAGAGAGAGATTAAGTCGGATTGAATCAGAGTTATTGTTACTAAAGGAGAAGCAAGCTGAGTTAACCGAACAGTGGGAACACGAGAGGTCTGTTATGTCCCGTCTTCAATCAATCAAAGAGGAGATAGATCGAGTGAACCTCGAGATCCAGCAAGCGGAACGTGAATACGATCTTAACCGTGCAGCTGAGCTCAAATATGGAAGCTTAAACTCGTTGCAACGACAACTAAATGAAGCAGAGAAAGAGCTTAACGAATACTTAAGCTCCGGGAAATCGATGTTTAGAGAAGAGGTTTTGGGTAGTGATATTGCCGAGATTGTGAGTAAATGGACTGGAATCCCAGTATCGAAGCTTCAACAATCAGAGAGAGATAAACTTTTACATTTGGAAGAAGAATTGCATAAGCGAGTGGTTGGTCAAAACCCAGCAGTGACCGCGGTAGCTGAAGCGATCCAACGATCAAGAGCTGGTCTTTCAGATCCAGGCCGTCCAATAGCAAGTTTTATGTTTATGGGACCAACTGGTGTTGGTAAAACCGAGCTAGCCAAAGCACTTGCGTCCTATCTGTTCAACACAGAAGAATCTTTAGTGAGAATCGACATGAGTGAGTACATGGAGAAACATGCTGTGTCTAGACTCATTGGAGCTCCACCTGGATATGTCGGATACGAAGAAGGAGGTCAGTTAACAGAAACGGTTAGAAGAAGGCCTTACTCGGTTATCCTCTTCGATGAGATAGAGAAAGCTCATGGCGATGTCTTCAATGTGTTTCTCCAAATCTTGGATGATGGGCGAGTCACGGATTCTCAAGGACGTACAGTGAGTTTCACCAACACCGTTATCATTATGACCTCGAATGTTGGTTCGCAGTTTATTCTGAACAACACAGATGATGATGCAAACGAGCTCGCTTATGAAACAATTAAACAGAGAGTGATGGATGCTGCAAGATCGATCTTTCGTCCTGAATTCATGAATAGGGTTGATGAGTATATAGTTTTCCAACCTCTTGACCGCGAGCAGATCAACAGCATTGTCCGGTTACAGGTATGCTTTTTCCTTTTCTAGGAAAAAGTCGCAGAATTGATTATACTAATCACATTGTTAGAGCCTGATCTCCAGAGGAGGTAGCTTCTGGAGGCAATTAGAATTTATATTAATTAGATGGGTAGATTGGAAGGTCTTGCTTTCAAATTGCCTGTTGGTGAGTAGTTTGACTTCTGATAGTGTACTGGAGTCTAATTGCATTGGAAATATTACTTCTTGGTCATCTCTTCGCAAAAATTAGTGTTTTAAAATAGATTTGATCAATGTTGAAGTTTTTTTCTAAGGCGATGGAGAGTTATGTTATCCAAAACCCTCACTGAATCACTATCTTTTTATGTATACTGCAGTTGGCGCGCGTGCAGAAGAGAATTGCAGACAGGAAAATGAAGATAGACATCACAGATGCAGCAGTAGATCTTCTTGGAAGCCTTGGGTATGATCCTAACTATGGAGCTAGACCTGTCAAGCGTGTGATACAGCAAAACATTGAGAACGAGCTCGCTAAAGGTATCTTGAGAGGAGATTTCAAGGAAGAAGATGGCATTTTGATTGATACCGAGGTTACAGCGTTCTCCAATGGTCAGTTACCTCAGCAGAAACTCACATTCAAAAAGATCGAGGCAGAAACAGCAGACGCAGGAGATGTAGAAGAAGCTTTCTCAAAACATAGCATTTGAAAAATGAAACCTTCAGAAGCCATAGTTTCACACTATATTAGTACAGAACTTCAAGTATGTTACTTGTGACAGTGCTTTATGCTATTATTTATCTCAATGCGAGTTCTATAAAATCCATAAGCTGAGGCATTGTACTTTATGTCATGATGAAAATTGTTGATCAAAATTTAACTGTATATGAATCTTGAATCTCTGAAGATACAATAAGATGTAGCAAAAGTACACAAATTGACAATTTACAGATGTTTCACGCATCAATGTTACATTGATTCGAATTGGTCAGTCGTTTTTGAGGCGGAGGTCCATTTTCACTTCCACCCAACAAAGAATTTCTCCTTTTCAATATATTTTCTTTAGCAAAGCAATTGTCTGCAAAAAAAAAGATCAAAGTTGTACTGTTCTCAGATGAAAAATGCTGTCTTGTTCTATATATATGAGGAAGAGTGGTCTTGTAGATTACCTTGCTTCTTCTCTGTGTGATTGCTATCTTCGCTTGGATGTGCATCCTCTGAATCAGACAAAGGCGCAAGAGTGCAGATACCTAGCAGATGTCCATTAAGGCAAACGAAATACTCGATACAGTCTTCATAAGCTTCCAAACGAATGCAGGCACTCTGAGGTATTATCTTAGCTTGTAGCATGCTCCATAGTTTAGCTTTACAATACGGGCAAACTTCGGATGGATGAAATGGAACCGCCTTATTAATGATCACTTTCCGGACTTTAGATGTTGGAAATGACTTGAAAATCCCACGGAACAAACCCACATCGCCTTCTTCTCCTTGATCAAGATGCTCACATGGATCACAAACGTATAGTACATCAGTTCTACATTGAGGCGGAAGGAGGCTTCTTCCCAACGTTCTTGAGAATCTGGTTCTGTAAACAAAGTGGCCCGGGATTTGAACCGAGCTATTGAACAGACCGCCTTGTGTACATCCTGAGCAGTAGATGAGAAGCTTCCCGAGGGCTCGCCAGTTACCATCGATGCAGTGACTACCGCTAGATTGCAAATCAAGCATCATTTTTGGGGCGCGCGTCTTGCAAAACTCTTTCCATAGTACCCGTTTGGCAAAATCATCGAACCATTTGCATACACAGGAAAGAGTAGCGACTAATTTTGGATTCCAGTTCAAATGTTGAAACACTAATAACAAAACTTCTTCACTTAGATGACCTCTCGTGCATTGGCAGCTCGGGGAGTGTGTGCAACGATACTGCTTTGGTAAAATCATTCTCTTTGCGTTTCAAGCACCAAAGGAAACACAAAGAGCTTCACCTGAAAAACAAGAGATAGAGACCCATTTAGTTCCCTTCCCAGATACTCCAATACACTTTGAGACCTATAGTAAACAGTCTCTAGTGTCACAGAACTGTTAGACATAGTCACAAAAAGCACCTCATGCTCCACAGGAAATGAAACAACTCAGTAAACCAGATTCAAGACTAGGCCTCAAGCAACCAAACATACACACAAAAAGAACCAGAGAAAGCTCGCGGGACTTATCATTCACACACATTACAAACCACACAGGGTCTCAAGGGAACTGCTTTCTCACTACTATGAAGTCTCTTTACATCTGAAAACGATGCTAAGAGAAGAAGAGAACAATTCAGATTCAATAGATGATCTCTAATCATTACTTCTTATCAAACAAAAGAACGGACCAGTTAATACCCTGAAAACAATATTCCAATGTCACGAGCAATAACAATGGAGTCAAACAAGGCCAAGACCTTCAAAGCAACACACACAATGTAACTCAGATCTATAAGACCACATCAAGAACAACACTCTAATTGAAAATCTAGCGATTCCGAACCCTAAACCTTCTCCTCATAACCCATTTCCACTCCCCCCCCCCCCCAAAATCACCATAGAAAAAAAAAGCCAGAAACCGAAACACAAAACAAAACAAAGATCTTTAAATGAGTAAAGGGAGGAACTTTACCAGAACAAAATTGTGAGTACTTCAACAAATTGCAGCTAACATGAAGTCTACTACAAAATAGCTTATGCTCTTAATCCCAGAAACCGCAACTAGAATCTGAAAATTAGGGCATTTAAAGGTTTTCAAAAAAAAAGAGAGGAGATTTTCGACCGAAAAAACGAATGAGGAACCTCGAAAACTCCGAAACAAAACCCAGATTCCAGAAGAAGAAGACGAAAGATTTAAGTAGCAGAAGGAAACAAGGAACAATTCGCAGAAAGAAATCGATAAGGAAAGAAATCGATAAGCTTTAATTTTTTCTACTCCATGTAGCAGAAGAAAGGAAAATTAAATTTAAGTCCTGGAATGGTAGAGTGACAGTCTGTGATACAAGTATACGACCAATAACCAATATTAATATGACACGTGGTTTAAAGAATCTAGATAGTCAATGGCATCTAAACGACAAGCGTGGCGTGGGGTCCGCTTTTTTGTATTTCTTTTTATTTCAGTCCCTAGTTTTTTATAAAACTCACAGATTGTAACCAATAGTTACAAAAGTCTTTTTATGTAACCCATCACACATTTTTGATTTTGATCAAGTGGAGATAATTAATAAGAGAAAGAAACAGTTAGAACTTGGATTAGACATTATAACACTCACAAATTATAGAATTCTATGCGAGTCATTTTACACTCTTACGCATCTACAAATGTTTTACATAAATACATAAACACCAATTT